AAATATATAATTAAATAAATAAGAGCCCAAATACAGACGTCTTGTATTGACTACATATTGTCATTGGATAGCAAAGTCAAAATTTATATCAAACTCACCGCCGAGTGAATTCGCAATTGCTAGGTTCAGTACACGGAGAAATATAACGTCCTTATAATAGTCGAGAATTTTCAACGAACTTCTAAGACAGCCTGAAAATACAATCAGTTTTCATACAAGAGTGGTCCGACACACCATACCATACCATACCATACCATGATACCATACCATACACCATTTCGTACAATGCCACCTCATACCACATATCACACAATACCATACCATACCATGATACCATACCATACCATACCATGATACCATACCATACATCATTTCGCACAATGCCACCTCATACCACATATCACACCATACCATCCAATCCCATCCAATACAATACAATACAATGCTATACCATATCATATCATACCATACCATACCATACCATACCATACCATACCATACCATACCATACCATACCATACCAAACCAAACTATACCATACCACATCATAGGCTACCTACCTTCAAATATATTTTGCAAACAGTCTACAACACATACTACATAACTTTCACTGTTGGTACTAGTACCTAAAATTAAATCAGTAAAACTATTACTACCATTAACATTATTATTATCACTAAATTCTGATCCTTTCTTTAATCAATATGGATTGCCCCTCCAACTAAAAACTAAGAATATAAAACAGCATACTTTCACTCAAGGTTGTAAGATTCTCAACCAAGCATGGTACGATATATTCAACATTTTCCTGTGAAGTACACAAGGTGGCTAACGTGGTAACTAGGTACTCGTGGGTGATATGAGGACGAACAGGGACTGTATTTGCATCATTGTCTGTTTCCATTGAATTAGAACCATCTAGAAAAGTAGACTTGATTAGCCAACAAATCCAAATTTTGGGCGTCTCACTCGATAGAACAGAATGCTGAACGCTTTTTGTGTAAAACTGTTTATTGTCCTGAGAGTCTTGACTCGAAAGTTTCCATCCATAAAAAGCCTTCGACATTCTGATGAGTTGAGCATATTTATGCAAGTTGCTATCCTGGGAGTAGATCTTGATTCCCTGGGGAGAAAGCTCTGCCTCTACTTGTCTATCAACCTATCTGCCTGTCTGTTTTTTCTATCTGTCCCAGTGAAATGGATAAAAGGGAAAAAAACTAGAAAATATAACTTCTATTGATCCAGACATGATTACTGAGAACAAATTTACAAACAAGCTGGTGAAATGCTTTCTCGTAGTTTGTCGTTTATCTAATATAGGATTAAGCTAGCCAATTCCGGTATAACGCGACACACACAACATGTTACATTGATATCACATTTGTGAATTAATTTTACCTTTCTTTGCAAGTCTGTCGGTCAGTTGTACAACTACTCGTGAGCGGACAAGAGCTGGAAATTGAGATGAGAGATAAGCCAGTGCCAGTTTTGCTTCATGCCTAAAAATCATTGATCATGTTAGACGAGTCAATTTTGGACACGGTCACAAAGAGCCAATGTTACATGAAAATTTTCACAACCCCCCTCCACCCCGTTTGGTACGCGGTATCGTTACAAACATACCCAGGAGGCAACAAGGAAATGAATGAAAAATATCGGAGAAATAAAAACATCGTTATGTAAACTCTACACAACAATACTCTGTGTACGTCAATGCTGACAGGGTGGGTTGGGATGAATCCGACAATGACCCTTCCACCGTTGTGTTCCGTGATGAGACATGCGTCATACGGAGGCTACCAGAAGCGCCCTTAGTGAACCTTCGACTTGACACAGCGTCCTTTGTAAGCCCGCTCAGCTCTGAAATGTACATGTAAGTAAGGATTACCAACCCCCTACTTACTTATTATTGCAATTGCTTTGTGTAACGTAGGCCCGAATGAGGAAATGTTTCTTTCATTAAAATGATCTCCATTCTTATGTTTCAAAGAAACCCTAACCTTTGAGAACGTACCTCACAATTTTTTCTTTATCATCTAAAATTAACACAACCAGATGATCCAGAAAAGTCATTACCTTAATAAATAAAACAGCCATGTTAAAATAATTTATAAAAATGACTGCATAATTCCAGGTTTATGGATCTACCCTCACACCCTGGTGTTTTCCGCAAACCCAACTGAGCTCAAATAATTGTTTTTAAAATACAGAAGTGTGATGCAAGATACAGTACCTCTTGCTCGTCAAGTAGCGCGGATGAAACCATGGCAACCAATCCAGCCACGCCAGAACTTCGATGCAAAGGATTATGGTTAACTAAGAGCGAGAAGAACAGTCCCAGAAGTTTTTCTTTGTAAGTTTTCAAAATGGCGGCAGTATCTGAAAAGAAAACACAATGGATTATAACTGCATTGTAGAAGGCTAGAAGCGTTCTGTGGAAGGAGATTTCGATTGTACATTTTATACATTTATTAGATCTAAAGGCACTGTCACACTATTGCGTATAAGAGAAATGTATAAGAAGCGTATGGAAATTAATGAAATAATTTTCATACGCACAAAAATCCTTTGAAATGCCAGTGTATGAGTACCGTACATCTGGCGTACCTTTATAGCGTATTCAGCGTGTGCCTAGAGTATGCTTAAAAGTTGAAGTTGAAAAATTTGAAGTTAAAGCATACGTCCGATACGCACAAAATTTTTGAGCATGCTTAAAAAAAATTTCTGCCTCGCCGTATGCCAGCGTATGCCACCGTACGCGACCGTGCTTGAAACGTATACAACCTATGCCTAACGTACCCCTAGCGTATGTCAGCGTATACCGGTGTATGAGTGATATTTTTCATAGCTGGTATACGCTAGTACGATACGCAAAAGTGTGACAGGGCCTTAACCAGAAGCAGTTGCATTTTTCGCAATGGTGATACCAAAAAGACTAGATTTTAATCTAGGCAAGAAGAACAAAATCCATCACCACAGCTAGAAAGAGCATGTTAAAATTAGTACAATTGCAAAGTTTGGTTGCGAAATGTTGTAAAATGAGGAAAATATAGTCCTGCGAAATTTTCAATTCGTATTACGCACGGGAAAATGCTCCACTTTCGGCTTCTTTCTATCTGTGGTGATGGATTTTGTTCTTCTTGCCTAGATCAAAATCTAGTCTATAGCTGGAATTGCCTATTGCTCCTGGTTACAACGCAAAACGGTTTAATGACTTTTTCAATGTCGCGTATATTTGCAAAGAAAAGTGTTTAAAAAGTTTTGGCGATCCTTAAATAGTTTTGGCGATCCTCTCAAAAATATTTTATTTTAGCTTTATTTTGTAGTTTACACAGTTAGCAACCTTTTTAAATGTATCTGGCGGTTGAAAAACACAAAATAATAGTTAAATATTGCCAATTATAATTGATGCTGTAAAATTGACGCCATATTTATACTGCAATTAATATAAGCAAAACTTACTGAACTTCAGACGTCATGGCGTACCATCTAAAATCTCTTCATTTTAGCATATAATTTTACAGATAAAGTACTGAACAATTGCCGCTTTGAGAAACGTATGGTAAAATAAAAATTTTGAATGTGGTTATAACGCAAGTGGAAAAGTATTTTCATTAATTTTGAGCGCGTGTTACGTAACGTACAAAAGATTCCCCTCTTAATAGATCCTCAACGTATGTGGCGTACAATTTCTATGTGATTGTGACCTGCCTTAAACATACAGTACGGGAAGTCAAAAGTCTAAAGCCTGCTTTTTCAATTCCACTGGTCGGAACGTCCAAGCTTCACATATTGAGTGTGTTCACTAGTTTTGGGTCTAACAATCCCACCTGAAAATTGTAAGGTGGAAATGAATAAGTGTGCGTCCAGGCTACCTTTGTTCACAAAATCTTTTGCGACCTGGAGAAAACCTAGCATCGCATCCAAGATTGACTTTTGATTGTTGATCTGCAAGCAAGAGGAAAAAACCCCGTTTCAGACACAAACTCAGTCTATGAAACTAATGTAGTTAGACCAGTGAACTGTATATGTAAACTGGAACGATAACTCGGGGGGTTGGGGGGTTGAAGCCAGTGCACTTTAGTTTTTCTGCGTTTTGAGCAGAAATACTTAAGACTGAACGTTGTTCTGTATATGAAAGTGAAGCTATTGAAAAACGCTGTTTGGTGTAGAAATTTCAAGACTTTATTTCTAAAAGGAAAATATTTAAAAACTACAAAAATAATTACCAATAATTTGCCATTTTTTGGCCGAATGGCAGTTGTTTTTGTATTTTTAAAATGTTTTTATTTTCGCTGAAGTCTTGAAATTTCCACACAGAATAGCAATTTTCAATAGCTTCAGTTTGATATATAGCCCAACGTTTGGGATAAAATATTTCAGCTCAAAACTCAGAAAAACTACTTTGCCTTCAGCGAATCATAGGCTTTATCATAGGAGTTATCGATCCATTTTACATAGAGTTCACTGAGTTAGACAACTTTGGGTATATTTTTTTTGGTGGGGGCGGCGGGATTCGGTTACCAACATATGACCACCTTTAGTAGCTTGGAATATTTGTTCTTTTTAATTAAATTCCATGAGATATATATAGCTTAATTTATAGTCTACCAATGCTTTCATGGTTGAAAAATTATTGTTACAGCTTTGTTGCCCAGTATTCAGCTGTCGTTTAAAGGCTTTCATTGCCCCCCTGTGACCCTGCCACCTCCCTCCATTCTAGTGTCCGCCACTGGATAAAATAACTGGAGAAACCGTTACTCATGCAGACCTGTTTATGAAGTTCAAACTGTTCCAAGAGTATTGGAATGACTTGATCTGTAACCCTAGCACACGCCATATCTAAAAAACAATGAAGCACATATAAAATTCCTGTGTAGAAAGAAGTAAAGGATCCACTGATCCGTCCCGTCACCATCATTCCTAAAGCCAGTTTTCCACTTCGCCGAGGCCGTACCATTACGGTACCGAAACATACTGGTGAGCATTCGTAGATTGTAATGGTTTTGTTTGTGTTAACACCACGTAAATTTACTACTGCAAAGCTTTCGATCCGGAAGCCCGGATCTTCATCAGTGCTAATAATATAAAAAGCTATAATATTTAAAGCTTTGCAGTAATAAATTTACGTGGTGTTTCCACAAACAAAACTATTATATGTTTTATCGCCATGCAAAGGTACAAAGAACTTATTCGTTGATTGATTAGCATCACATACTTCCGGGTGTATTCGCGTATCAAAATGAAGAGTTCGTGGCAAGTCAACTTTTTAGCGTACTCACTAAATTTTTGAATTTTTGCATTTTTTTTTAAACAGGCTTAAAGTTCAGGAAGTTGAAAAAGGAGAACTTTCGGCACGCTTGTGAAATTGTTGATAATTATGGACTAGACTAACATCTAACCTGAAGCCATTGCGACATTTTGAAGTAAACTCGCTGAGGTCTTCATAAGTTTGTGGTCGGGCTTCAACAAGTGATTCTTACAGTCTGAAAATACAAAGTCACCATCAATGCACGCATGGGCCTGCATTGGAAAAAGTTAAATAATATGCATTCCGATTTTTTTAAAACATGGTCATCACTATACTAACCGTTAATAATACTCGTCGAAACGTCGTTCAAAACGCCTGCATGATTTTGCTGTTTTCAATATAGAACGGATGAAAAACTCAATGAAAGATTGAAAAATTATCATTTACTTTTACAGAAGAGAATTAGTAACAGCTCTAAAGAATAAGACAATTATTTGGTTAATCATGAACGCACCTCTTCAGCAATAGAAATGTTTCCGACAACGTTTTTGATTGCTTCAAGACAGGCAATCTAAAAGACAATCATAAAAATAATAACTATTTACCACTTGAAATCTGCTGTGTTGGTGTAATGTACTCAGGTGAATAAGATGTTTGTGTGATGTTACTCTGAGTGTATATCCACACCGGGCAGGCTTGAAAAATATGCCTGGCCACGGCGGGATTCGAACCTACGACCTTTGGAATACTAGCCCAATGCTCTTCCAACTGAGCTACGCGGTCAGGACGGTTCGAGTAAGCGATATTTCAGAACTGAGTCTAGTTCCTTCGATATCAGTGTGACTCAGTTCCGAAATATCGTTTACTCGAACCGTCCTGACCGCGTAGCTCAGTTGGTAGTATTCCAAAGGTCGTAGGTTCGAATCCCGCCGTGGCCAGGCATATTTTTCAAGCCTGCCCGGTGTGGATATACACTCAGAGTAACATCACACAAACATATTTACCACTTGCTAACTCAAGCAGGGCTTTCAAAACAAGCCGGCGGAGGTCCGGCTACTTTCTTTATTATACACTATACTGTCCATCCATCTCGCTATTTTGGCGGTTTGTGGCTACAAAGTACGCCGGATTTCGGCATATCTAAGTACGCCAGATTTTGGCACCAACACTGTGCGTGGACTAACAAGTTTGGACGGCGTTAGACTGGTTTGAACGGTACAGAGAACGGACGAAGACGAATAACGGTTCAGTAATTTAATAACGCATTACCTCGATTGACTGGTCAGCAGCAGTGAAGATCTGGAATAGAAGATAATCTTGTGAATGGACATTCGTTTTTCTTCCTTCCTTATTTAATGACCAGTTTTTTTTAATGCCCGACACAGGGTATGGTTGCCTAACTCATCCAAGCCAAAGGCTCATGATGTGCTCGACAACTCAGACCTATAAGGGTTAGTTTTTGGTGAAAGACGAAAATCCTCGAACCATTGGAGAGAACCACGACTCTAGTTACATGAGTTTCCAATACAGGAAAGTTACCCAACTTTCACAAATCGCCCCCCCCCCCCACACCTCACAGTAGCGGTAAGGGTTAGACTAAATGTTAATCTAAGTAAAGAGAAGGGAATCAAACACCACAGCTAAAAAGAACATATTAATGAACTAAGTAAAATTGCAAAATTTGGTTGCGAAATGCTGTAAAGCTTGGAAAATATTGTCTTTGCAAAGTTTGTACATATTTGTATTACCTGCGGAAATTGTTACCATTTTCGGCTCAAAAATAGTAACAATTTCCGCACGTAATACAAACATATACAAAATATGCAAACTTCGCAGGGGTTTTTTCAACGTATTTTACAACATTTCGTAACCAAATTTTGCATTTTTACTAATTTTAATAAAATCTTTACGGGAATTTTTTTTTTCGCCTAGATAAAAAATTAGTCTAACATGCAAGTTAATTGTCTATTGCGCAATACTTTAATGTTTACCTCTTTCTTGATGTAATTCCACAATGAGTCAACATATTCTGTAATAAATCTTGAGTCATATACATTCGCACAGGCAGCCTGAACAGAAAAACTTCAAATAATGTAAGTACTGTAATGAACTACATTCCACGTCGGTTTGAATTACTGTGCTGTAGATGGCAGTGAAATTCACTATGTTGACACTAAAGGAAGCAAGACATTTAAACTAGATCTTTCAATTCGAATATCTACCAAATACAAGATTACTGTTTGTGGGAACCACCGAGTATTTTAATTAAATACAATACAATAGTAACTCCGAAAACAGTAAACATTTTGAAAAGTGTTTATTGGACGTTTCGACCAGATTTTAGTCATTATCAGGAATCCTAATGACGACTAAAATCTATCGTTTTCGGAGTTATTATAGTTAGACAGGTTCAGATTTAACTTCCACTACCGCTACCTTTGATGGCTCCATTGGTAGCGGTCGCGACGGACTGTTTAGACCTGTTCAGATTAGACTTCTCCCGACGACCATAAATCGCTTTGTTACGGTCCCAAAACAAAAACATGCGACGATTTCCTCACGCTCTTGCAGTTACTGCGCATGCGTAACACATTTAAGGTAGCGGTAGTAGTAGTGTAAGTCAAATCTGAACCTGTCTATTGTATTGTACAAGACTACTATAGTATATGTATATTGAAAAGAATTGAACACCATCTGCTGCACGATAGTGTTTACTGAAACCTATCTAAATCTATATAGTTAAAGCCTGGTACAACGCAAGCATAAGCACGAGGACAAGCAAGCGGAATGCTTTGATGTCCTTATATGCTTGTGTTGTTCTGGGTTATAATGGTTATTGGATGTGGCATTACTTACGAGAGTTAACAAAGCATCCTTTTTGGCATAAACAACGTCTGAGGATAATTTTTCAATCAAAAGAGGAAGACAAAACTAAACAAAACATAAAACATCCTTCAACAAAAGTATTCGCCATCCGTCGGATAAATTTTAAGTCGCTATCCAATCTGCCCCTGTGCAATTTACTGTGAATTTTATCATTTATTGAATATATATATGCTTTCGAAAGATTCTAAACTTTTCTGCATGTGAGTATACAGTATAACAACCACATTAAAAGCAGATAAAAGGGAGAATAACTAGAATCTATTCTGGTACACAAAACTTGACATGTCGATAAAGTTGGGTTTTTCGTAGTTTCTTTTCTCGTATAGATTCCGAGTCTTTTTGATCGACTTGATTGTACCTGGAACACTATATGGCTTATAACTATTCTCATATCTATAGCATTTGTGTCAAACGAGTAAAACTCTCGTTAACTTTTGTCAAAACGTACGCTAGCTCAAAATCGACAATCAAATAAGAAATTTTCATCAGCACTAGTCTGTGTTTCATCATGGTTTAATTGCGGACGGTATGCCTCATTTTCGAATCAATAAAATATACTTACTGGGGCAAAAATAGAGGTAGCAGCCAGGCATTTACGGAGAGCTATGATGAGCTGTTCTCTTGTTATTGCATTCGGATCATTGGATGGCTACATCAAATAAATACGCAATCGTTCAGTTTGTATTTTGTATGTTTTTACGTCAACATTGTGTGTGAATTTCTCAAACATAATTATCATCAGGTGCAAAACACAAAGAAATTCACCACCGTATCCCAGATCCTTAATCCTAATCCTTGTGACGTCATTTCGGGACGGTAATTTAACAACTGAAGTCATCCGGTAGTGTAGTTCTACAAAAGGTACTCGCACTCCAGTGCGTCGCAGTTCACACTGACACATACGATCAGGGACTTAGCCACTAGC